AAATTATTCATATTCTTTTAATATGTTTATGTTGTTTCTTATTGAATTATAATCCTGAGGATAACTTATGATATAAATCAAAAATGTTTGTTTTTCAGTAAAACGTAGCTAGATTTATAAAGGTGTTTGGTTTTTATATTAAATAGACGATAGAATAAGCATATTAAAAAGATAAAGTTATATTAATGTTGGATGGTTTGTAAACAAATCTTAAGAACAAAATCCAGATGAAAATGAGTCTACTAGAGTCAAGCCAGTTTTAATCAATAAATATATCTAAGGACAAAGAAAAAATGTTTCAAAATTATCTTTTCTTCATCTTTAGTTTTAGAATAGAACACTTGAGTAATCATAGCAATATAACAAAAGAAAAATTGTTATCTTTAAACAACATAAATAAGACATTTTTACAAATTCAAAAACTATTACATTGTCTGATTTGTTATTATTACAAAAAAAATAAATGCTTGTTTACTGGAATTGATAAATACGAGGGCTATTTTTTAAATAAGATCTGTTTGTGAATGAGAGTGAGAATGATACGCGATTGCAGCAGTGTGCATGAGCATCTGCTTTCAGCATGCTTTGCGTGTGTTTAGATGCCATTTGCAGCCATATTGGCTGTCTGTGTGCTGAACTGTAGAAGTTTATAATGTTTAAGAAAACTGAGTCGCCTGCCGACTGTAAGATATGATCTGTTGTTTGATTTTAGCATGAAAGATCATGGTAACTGTCTTTTGGGACAGGAAAGGGACTTTGTTAGTGGATTTTATGCCAAGAGGCACAACAATCAATACTGATGCTTATTGTGTGACCTTAGAAAACTCCACCGTGCCATACAAGACAAGCGATATGGCCTAATGTCTTCCAGCGGCAAATTTCTTTGAAGTCGGAATTTTAAAATTTTTGAGTGGTATGACAAACGTTTGAACAAAAATGTAAATTATGTAGAAAAGTAGATAAAAGTATGTAGAATATGGAAAAAAATATATTTTAATATTTACAGTATTTTTCTTCTTATTAAAAAACAGACCTTATTTAAAAAATAGCCCTTGTAATATTGATTGAAACTTTTTAGTTTTCCAATAAAAGAAGGATAAGACTATTACTTATTTTCTTATATTATAGTTTTTCTTTATGCTTGGAATATTGATTTTTCAATATTATATTAGGATGTTTATATTAAATTTTATAATGAAATTGGAAATATATTAATTTTGTCAGTTATTTCTATTTATTCTTGCTTTAGAGAAAATTGTAACAGTATTTCATGATTTTAATATATTTTTCAAATCTATTTTTATCATAAAATAAAGCTTTTTTTCAATTTTATAGCATTTATTTGTGAAGATATTAAATTCAGGAATATTTGAATATATTTGTTTTTAAATATGTATTAATAAATCATTTTAAAATTAGTTTTTGAATAATACAATACAAAATTATATTATTTGTGTCTTATAAAAATACAGGGTAAATCAAAAGTTGTTTAACATCTTTATAAAATTGAACTGAGTTGGACAGGGGAAATTTTGGAATGATAGAAGCACATAACAACATAACATCAACCCAATTCTATTAGATATGCCAAACAAACAACTGGGTTATTTATAGTGCTGTAACAAAGTAATGTAACAATTAGAAATAGAGTAATTTGTCTATAATTAAGCGGTTAGACTGCCATTTAATGACAAATTTAATTTTTAATTTAAATTTAGAATTTTCTGGAAGAAAAGATTGGTTCAGAGTGGGGACTTGAACCCACAATTCCTGTTTACCATGCAGAAGCATTGCCAATTACAATATCCAGACTTCTGTCTGATCTTTGCTTCCAGAAGTATTAATTACTTGACTAATTACAGCCTGATAAATAATCTGATAGTTTGTTTGACATACCTGATAGAAACATGTTATTTTAAGGGGCAATCATTTTTGTGTATGTCAATTCTGTGTTTCTAATTTAAAATTTTGATGGTATATTCAAGAATAATATCAAATATGCATTTATTTTTGAAAACAATGATATCTTGGCTTTGTCATGTTTTTATTTAGACTATACTAATAATTCAGAAACCAAAAAATAGAATAATTGATTATTTCATATAAAATTTTTATAGATTTGTAATTTAATCATATTGTTAAAAATTACTGATTATTAGATATATGTGTATATAGTGAAGGATTAGTTCAACTTAAAGTTCCTGTTAATGCTGATCGTGAGCTAACAGTTACATTAGAGAAGACTGATGGTTCGACATTGTATATTAGTAGGTATGTTAACATTTTTAGTTATTTAGCAAATTTATTTTAATTTTGGTTACTGTAATTATCATTTTTTTGTTGTAGAGACATAGCTGCAGTGCTAGATCGTAAAGAGAAGTATAATTTTGATAAAGCATATTATGTTGTCAGTACAGGTTTATTAATATAATGAACCTTATTATTATTATTTTTTTAATATTTAAAATATTTTTTAAAGGTTGATAATAACCAAAGTGATCATTTTCTTTCCCTTGTTGCCATTTTGAAAATATTGGGATATGATTGGTATAGGTACTATTTTATTGTATTTCCTAATTTTTGATTTTTAAACTTAATGGTTATTAAATTAATAAATAATTTTAGTTCAGTTCATCATATAAAATTTGGCCAAATTGAAGGAATGAGCACAAGAAAAGGAAAGTTAGTGCATCTGAAAGATTTATTAGAAGAAGCTAAAAGTAAAGCTTTTATTTCAATGTTAAATTCATCAAGTAAGGAATCATTTTCAAAATCTATAATAATTTATTGTATTTACTTGCATGTAAGACACTTTTAGATACATTGCTGTCCTCATTAAAGTTTTCAGAATTCCCCTTATGTCTTGATATATAGATTTCCAACACTTCACAGTAACCTTCTCCTCCATAACATATCTTACAAATGCTATGGAAGATATTCCTTTTTGACTAGTTTATAGAAACTGCTCTTTAATTCTATTCTACAAAGATCTTGCCACGGCAACAACATATTCATGTTCTTGCTTGTCTCTATCAACCTTGAGGGGTATCTTATATACACTTGATATTTTCATACAGTCTGATTGATATTTATCATTTCTCAGACTTTTCTATACAATTGAGGTTTCTTGTTTAAAACATGCCTATATCAGTGAACAATGCAATCTTCCCATATATATTATATATATATGTATATTATAGTTCACAATCTTGTATTTCTCATGGTTTATGTTATTCATGTTAAAAATTTTAAAAAATTGGAAATTTTTGGTAATGTTAAGATAGCAATTTAGTTAACATTGTTCAAAACTAAAGATTCAAATATAATTCATATACTTTTATTTTCAGCGACACGGGCAACAAATAATATGGATGAAATTGCGGATGTTATAGGAATGTCAGCTGTTATGATAAATGATATGAAAAATAGACGACAAAGTAATTATAAATTTGATTGGGATAAAGTACTTTATATGAAAGGAGATAGTGCAACAACATTACATTACAATCATGCAAGATTATTCAGGTATGTTTTTATTAATTTTTAAATAAATAAATTTTCTCTAAGATTAATTAGCAATAAAGTATTTTAGCACGGAAATATGTTTCTTAATATATAGCATGATGGAGCCTTAGCTGATCTATTTTATATACAAATTATTTTGTTCTTTCTTACTAACTTTAATTGATCATATAATGAAATTGAAATAATTTTTTTAAAGGACAAAGCATATTATGTAGTAAATAAATAACATTTTTGTGTTTGTTATAGCAAAGTATTAAAGAAATATATATCAGCATAAACATTTTCAAATATTGAACAATATGTATATATATTCATATGGTATATGTAGACAGTGATTCCTCTGAAAATTCAAAAAGTTTCATGTCATTTTGCCACTTTTGATTTTATATTACAATATTGTGATCTTCTATCTACCCATTATTCCATTCAAATGGCCAGTGTTAATGGGAATACCTCACATAGATGAATGTCACCTTGCCCATTATTTTGACAATTGATTAACCTATTTGTATGGTTCAGTGGAATAGAATCAATACCAAATTTGCTGTATTATTGGGCTATAAGAATAATTTAATAATGCTAGATATAAAGTAATTTGACTAGAGGTAGGTGGTTAGGCTGCAATATCATGATAATTTTAATAGAGTTAACTGTATTCTGTTGACTCTTACAAATCTGAGAAATGTCTTTTAACTTCATGTTTATCGCAAAATTTTTTTTTGTAATAGATATCATCATAAAATTTTTTTACTAAAAAATAAGACATTTTCATCTATCTTATGGTGTAACTTTTACAATTCTACCATTGTTCTAACTTTTACGAGAAAATATGCAATTTTTTCTGTACAGTTGGTTATGAAAATTGGTTACTGTTCAATTGCGTTTTTTTTCCTCCAAAATTTTTTAGTTAAAATAATTTTATTTGTATTTTTATTTAAAAATATCTGGGACTCAATTAGCTTAAATAAATTTTAAATTGCTTTCATAGCAATGCTTACAAATTGCATTTAAATCTAGTCTATTGGAAAAATATACTCAAAAGGTTTGTTCTATAGAAAGAAATATATGCACTGTATACCTATATTATAAATGAAAAATTGTAAGTTAACTTCTTTTCTATTGATATCAATAAAAATGAAATTTATATTAGTTGTAGTTGAAAAGTGAAAAGAAATGAAATTGAGACAATGTCTTATGTGCTGAGTGGTAGGCTCAACATCATATTTTATCTGTATTTTGGAAAATGTACTCTCACTTTTATCACTAATGAAAACAAAACTGAAATTTTGTGTTTTGTTTTCTTTTTTGTATTTTTTATAAACCATTTTGATTTTATTTTTTAGGAAGCTTTGCGACATTATTACATGACCTTGTAGCAGATTTTCATGGCAGATAAATCATGCACTTTTGATTGGAAATAGTTATTTGAATAAGAGTGTGTAGTTAATTCTTCTGGTGCTAATTAATTGTTTTTATTTTACTGAATGGACGTCGCTATCAGGGCTGTGGAGTCAGAGTTGGAAGGAATGCCTGGCCAGATGAGTCAGGAAAAATGTGTCAACTTGGACTCCGACATTTTAAATTTAATTTAATTTTTTATTTAAATGAAAGAAAATTTATTTTATATAATAAAATAATTTTAAATGACGTAATATAACTTTCAATCGCAATTTATTAATATTTCTAACATTATTTCAATAATAAACAAGCTTGCATGGCTGTAGAAGAACATTTATGTAATATACAAACAGGGAATCGAGAGAAATGGAAGCTGAAATTTTTCCCTGGATCTGAAGAAAACTTGGGGTCTATAGTGGTAGTTCTTACTTNTACAAATAAATATTAATGTAAGTTAAACATTAAAAATACTAACTATAAAAGTATTTGGGTAAGTGCCCAGAGCTCCTTTCAGAGTTCAGAGTAGGGTATCCCTCTATGAGTGCCTCTTCCCCTATAAAATAACTTAGTATTTAATTTTGCTTAAGTCGGCCTACTAAAATTGTCAGGAGTCGGAGCCGAGTGTTTTTTACCGACTCCACAACTGTGGTGGCTATCATATAAAAATCAATGTGCTTTTGTAAATAACATATGTTTTAAAATATTTGCATGTAAATAATTTGGTTTATTTGTATTTCTGCATTATTGTTGTTATGCATCTATTTCAAACAGTTACAAAATACTCTGAAGTAAATCTAATTGACCAGAAAATATCATTTTCAATAGAAATCATATTGTGAGGTTTCTTATAAATAAAAAATTAATAATCATATATCTGTAATATAAGTGTATGAACTATAAGTAGGCTTGTTTTTGTCTGTATTCATAAAAATTTGAAAAAAATATGAAATTTATAAAAGTTACATGATGAAAATCAACATGCTGAAAACAATGCTAAGTTTGTCTTGTGATACATCCTCCTCCTCCTCCTCTGGTTTGTTTATCATTACCTGCTAACTTTTAAATTCTTTGTAAACATAAATTGCTTTGTTTTGAATGAAGAACTTCAAAGTCTAAAACATTATAATCATATTGAATAGAATGGTCTTTAGTTTCTACAATAGAAAAATAATAAAAATAATCAACTTCTTGTAGACTCTAAATGATTCTAATAAATTTAATTAATTTTTTTTTTTTTTTTTTTAATTCAGANGTTCTTCACCAATTGCTTTGAAATTTTGAAACAATGTTGCATTCGAATATGCATGTGTTTTTATATTATATAGATGTCGAAATCCTCCTGCGGGGAGAGGGACAAAATTAAGGCTTACCATGAAGAATTGGGCTTCTATTATACTATTTTAGATGCAGTTTTTTTGCATTTTTGATTGCATTTTAATAGGGTATGTCAAGAGAATATACACTAAGAAGGAATTTTTAGAATTTCCCCCACGCGGAACAGGGAGTGTTATACATTTATAATAGATAGATTTTGAGCCACAGCAACGCATGGCCGGGTACAGCTAGTTAGCAATAAGATAGTTTTAAACATGACAATACAAGTTAAAACACAATTGCAGCAGCAGACTCATAATCACTTTTCTTAGAAATTTCATTGCAGGTACTTACACAAAAAGTGCTCTGATATCCAAAATTGCTGAATTTTTTATTTCAATGATTTTTCTAAAAATTATGTTACTGTCAGATGCAAAAATCAGATTGGACAAATTTGGGAATTTTTACTTATGCTTATTTTAATTTTTTCTACATAGTAAGTTTATCCACAATCTATGATATTTCCATATAAATAATTATATTTGAGCTCATTTGTGGCACTGTACAGTGATAAGCTGTAGTTTGGTGATCCCTGATATAGACAAAAACATTATTAAGCAATGAAATCATTTAAATAACCTCACACTCTGTATTTTCTATCTTCAATTTTTAGATTGTCCCAAGCTGAAGTTCAGAAAATCTGGTAACTTTAATAATAATAGAAGTTTTGGTCTGTTTATTTGAATCTTATTTGCATTGAATCTGATATTGAAATGGTAAATTTCCACCATTTCAGCATCAGATTCAACTCAAATAGAGCAGTTCTTCTGAAAGGAATTACTATAATTGATTTTTCTGACTATCCTCAAGAAAAAGAAAAATGCAGCCTTCAACATTAATAGTCATGTTTTGAAGTGACTTAATTTGAATTGTGATGTTTTCTGTAATATTATTTTAATTTTTGTCAAATTTATATTATAATTAAAATTTGTGATGTTTTTTATATTTATAAATAAAAAGTTATGAAGTTTTTAAAAACACTTAAATTGCATAAATTGTAATAAATTTATTTTTTACAGTTATTTAATAGGAAAAGCAAACAAAACTTTACCTGTGAAAAATCAAGATAAAGTAATAGCGATGGTATGTTTAATATTTTGATATTGATATAATTTTTTTATTTACATTTAATTTTCTTGCTCATTTTTGTTCAATGTAAATCTGTGCACACTATGGGTACATATATGGTCAAGCCCAGTATTTAGCCACTAAATGGATGAGACCAGCAGCGTGGATGATAAATGGAAAACAATACTCTGATTTAAAATACTCAGGATGAATTATGAGAATCCAAATTCAAATCCAGAATGTTTATAGAGAATATAGAACCTCAGTACTATTAATACAATAATTGATTTTTAATCTGTAAATTATTTGAAACAGAATGCAAAATAAACTTTTATATACTAACCCATATAAGTATATGAATTAATATAGATTAATTCATACTGGACACAAATAAATATAAATGATGATAGATTAAATTGTTATAGTTAGAAGACAGAATAAAGTATAACTTAATAGTACAGAAGTTTTAATGTTGATTTGAGGTACGGAAAACTGGCATGCAAAAGACTATGTTAAATATGATGTGAAGATGGAGTGAGAAAACTTGGTGAAAATGCATGAGCAATAAAAGCAAAGAATGATTTTAATGATTTATTAATAGTGTACTAGTTTTAGTAATATCCAGTACATATGTAAATCGGTGGAAGCAATTATCATTTGGTGTCCTGTAGAAGCCTGACTATCGCCTCTCTACTCAGCAACGTCAAAGACTGACCCAACAAGAACCAATGCCAGGCATTTACAGCATCCCCATCATAGACCACTGTTACAACTGCCACCTGCAATACATAGGTGCTATGTCTCACCCACTACACATACGTCTCAAGGAACATCAAACATCTATCAAAAAAAGTTTAAACAATATGGCTTCGGCTACATATGCATCTGACCCTGGCATCCAGATGGACTTCCATGAGACACACCTACTACATTACAAATCTAAACTATTTGTGCTTAAACATCTAGAACAGGTGGAAATTTAAAAGGCCACTCACCATAATACAGCCATAAACTATTGTGACGTGGACTCCTTCCCCATTGCCTGGAAGTATTTCTATGAAATATAAACCCTCCTCTCTTCTTACATCATACACCCCTTCCCCTATACACGTGTTTCGCAATTCTGTCTATCTTCACGTAGTGTCTTGCCTGATGATGCCCGTTTAACACGAGTGAAAACATTTGCTCTTTGTATATAATTTTATCGCTGGTTTGTTAGGTTGTTACAGTTTTATTTTTGTCTAATATTAACCAGTTGTAAAGTAGCAGTTGTTAACATATGTAAATGTATTAACATGCCCAGTATGGTTGAATTTTTTAAATACATTCAATATAATTATTTTAAATATGCCTGAAATCTTAAATATACTAGTTTGTATAATAGAACAGTGTAAAAAAATGAAAAGTGAGGAGGACATGATGCCGAAATGCATATTTATTATTAGACTGTTAATTGTGAAAAAGCATATTTAATGATTGTATTATTATTTATATGTTGGATACTTTTTAAAGTTTTTTTTAAATGATTTTCTAGCTTTAGGTTAATGAAAACCGTAAAAATAGTAAAACTTATCTTGTCAAACGTTATATCATGATTTTGGTTCATTCCATTACCAATAAATTAGTCTCACTGTTTATAAAACTATAAATAATGCTAGCACGTATATAGGATGTCATAAGAGGACTCAGTTCAAGACTAGAACAATTACACCTTACATCTCAAATCTGCATTGGCACACTCATATATCACTCAACGGATTTTTATTGTGGAATCCCAGGGTTCTGCAAAACACAAGTTGGGAACCCCTGCACTAGACTATGCTTGTGCTTCTGCAATGTAATAAATAAATACAATTGCATTAGACTAAAGGTAAGCAGTAGTATGCAATTAGTTAGTTTGGACACCATCACCCAATTCTCCTTTCCCCATGAGAATTTTTCCATGGGGAAGGATATACCCAGGCTCTATCTTGGACTTATGGGGACAGCATAGTTTAAATTACAAAGTTGTAGAGCATCTCAAGATCAATACCAAACATGTTTTGTTCAAACACTCAAAAGAAAAGTGATTTGACATGTCAAAAAAATTCAGTAGTGAAACCATATGTGCCTTTCTACGTGGCCTTTAGCATGCAAAGCCAGCATAAGAATCTCATGTTTTATTACTGTAATTTAAACTATGCTCTTATATTACACAGGACTCAAGATAGGATTTTCCTCCATGTGAAAGGTATTTGGAGGTATATAATGTCCAAACCAATGGTAGTAGTACTGATTACCTATAGTCCTATAGTGCAATTACATTTAGTTACGTTACAGAAAGAAAACATAGCCAAGAACAATGTTTGTGTTTACTCTTTGTGTACTTAGTACAGTCAAAAATAAACAATACTCTTAATATAACTTTTATAATATTTTTATTTAAATTACATTATGTACATTATTTAAATAATTTTTGTGTTTTACTCTATTTTAGTAATTTTTAAATTATTCTGTAACTTTAATGTAATCCTTATTTTGAGTTATTCTTTTCTACACACATTATTGTATTTGTTTATCTGAAGATGATTATGAGATAGGCGGGGGGCCAAGGGGGCGATCCCTAGTGACCACTTAATCAGCAACGGGTCGATAATAAGACCCAATTTCTATGTTTCTTGGATGGCTAGGAATTTATTGAGAACATGCTAATCGAACGATAGCAGTTTCCAATCAGGAACTCACACCAGTTAGGATAAATACACACATCATAACTCGCGGATCTTAAATGAAGAGTAGGGTGGTTGATTAGTTTTCAAGTGGGAAGTGCACGAGGGTAAGTTGAGAGGATGTCCCTCATTCATGTGATCGAACGACAACAGGTTAACAGGTAAACAAAGTTTAATATAACTAAAACTAGAATACATAAGAACACAAAATATTCAACTAAATACAAGGTGTATATGGTGATTGCATATAGAGTGCGACTAACCTAATTCCTATGCAGTTTAGTTTAGGGGCACCATAGAGAGAGCTTACAAAAATTCTAACAAAAATACCTCTGGGGGTAGTTCTTCGAAGTTGTTGAGATGTACGGTATGTGACATTCTGTCATAGCGTAAGCCAATGGTTTATGGCAGAGGAGTCATATATCGATGATATCTGTGGTTTCCGCTATGTGGGATAAGGCAAGTCGGGAGCCTGAGATAAACCCTTCTGTGACTATGCGCTGAAGACCTGGTGCGTCATCCTTTTATGCCGTACTGCCTGGGAAAATTGGTCATGTGATGAACTGTTGATGGAGATGAAGGTTGATTTTGCAGGTGTTGGATCAGAAGTGAGCCATTGACGATGTAAAGGTGTCATATAAATACAGCTGTCATGACCATATTTGGTTAGGACCTGCAAGACTCCTCTATTTATTCGTTTAATTAATTAATGTTCAACTTTCCTTCTCCTAACAATCGGATGTTATCAATTTGCACTTGCCTGTTAGATTACTCTTCCTTTTATTGACGAAAAGAGCATCATCCAATCTGTTTTTTTAGCAATGTTTTCCTAACAGTCGCGGTGGAGAATTAGGCTCAAAAGGTTTCTACTTTTTATTGCAAAATCACCTACAATCGTACATGATAAATTAAACATATTGAAAATGCTTGCCATTAAATTCTTTTCCTGTTTAACTGTATTAATATATTCTGTAAATGTTCGTTCGATGGAGAATTACTTTGAATAAAATTGATATTACATTTAATAAAACTTCAATTTTATTAAATGTATTAATATATTTGATTATTTTAATACCTTAAGACAATAATTAGTTTATTTTTATTAACAATTTGTAAATATGATAATTATTTAAAAATTACTGTTATAATTTTTTAATTTTATTTTCTTGTTTTAGCTTGGAAAGAAATTGTGGAGTATATTTAAATCCATATTGTGAAACAAAATATTTAATGGAACCAGAAGCAGTAAATTTAGTTCAACATATTGCAAGGTCAAGATAAATTTTTTACATTTATTTTGAAATAATGTTAATTTAAATTATAAAATTATAATTGTTTAAAACTCTGTTCACTTATTTTTAAATTTTGATGACTTGATGACTGAATGTCAAAATGCAAAGAATTATCCTTTTGTTATTATAGGAAATATTATGTCTAGTTGGATAATTATCTTGCATGCTAAGAAAGACATTTAATTTTTTCATTAAATGTCTATTTATTCATCACATTAACACAAATTTAATTTGATAATTAGCATCATTATTAGTTTTGAATGATGAGAAAGCAAAGACAATTACAAACAAAATGTTTGTCTGTGAGATGATAATCCAGTGTAGACATTGAAAAGTCTGTGTGGTAAATGCCAAACAAAATGAATATGTTATGATATATTGATTTTTAACTAAATTATGATAGAGAGTAGATATTATCATTAGTTATATCAAAGTAGATGATGAATAATTCAACTAATTAAGAAAACAAGTAACTGATTAGATATATTTAAAAATTAGAAATTGTAACTCTGTAATTACTACATATAGATAGATTTAATGATGTCAAGTTGTATAGTACATTCTGGATGTAGTGGGTGAAAAGAAAGCTAATGAGTTATTAGCTGTGTAATCTCATTGTCACTGTGAGATTAGTCTTAATTAACAAGTTACATTGAACAGAGGTAAATGCAGACTAACTCAGGTACTGGAGATGCTTGAAATTTTTAAAGCCAACATTCAAGGACAGCATATAAACCTTAAGAAAAGTAGATCTCACAAGCATGGCAGGTCTTATTTGATAAGTCATTATGAGATGCATTACAACATTTATGTTTGGATGAATCTTATTGGTCAGTCATTGGTTTTAAATTTGAATTTCTCAGGAGTTCTTCTGCATATTCCATTTTCAAACATTGAAACCTGTGGCATTCCATTTCTGCAAAAATTGTAACCTGATGCAGGTCTTAGATGTAGACCAAAAGAGTTTGTTTTTCTGACTTTCATCACTCTTCTGGAAAAATTTCAAAGTTACGGTTTTTATCTATAGCTGAAATTGTTATTAGTAGATCTAATAGGAATTTTATATGATCAATCTCCAGCACTAGCTAATAATTGTAAAAATTTAATTTTCCCCTCTAAAGTTTTGTAAAAGCCATTATGTCCTTTATCATTATAGGGAGTTGAAACTTTTAAAATATAAAAATAGTTTTTCAAAAAGAAAAATTATGCTTAACAAATCAAATCTGTGTTTTCTATATTTATGTTATTAAATAATAATTTATTAAGTGGACTTGTAAACATTGTCTATGAGATTGTTATTTACTTTGTTATGTTTAAATTTATTTGATTTTTCAAAAATATCAACAAAATTTCTACAAGTGTGAATATTTATCAAAATAGTGATTAGAGAAAGTCAAGATATTTATAGATTTTGTTACATGTATTAGTGAATAATTTTAAAATTTGAGAGATTTTATATACACAACAATATTCTATAAAATTATTTATTTCTTTATAATAGGTTTGATGAAACAATAATGGCAGCATATAATAAGTTGGAACCCCATATTATTGTGCGATATTTATTTGCTTTGTGGTAAGTTATATTATTAATATGTTGTTGTCCTTTAATGATGTAATGTAACTAATTTATTTTTTATTCAGTTTGTTAAAAATATTTTAATGACTGAAGAACTATTCAAATAAAATCAGTTGCAAGTAAGCAATGCTTCAGCACATGCAGTGATAATACATTCTTTAACAATTTTTGTATAATGTATACACAATGAATATTTCTATTGTTGTTGTTTTCTAAGAATGTATTTCTTATTCTTTAATATTATTCTTATAGGTACTATCTGATCACAGGCAAAAAGTTATTAAGGTACTTTTGCCCCTGAATAAATCATGTTTTCTGTTGTGTAGATTTTCATCCTGTCTTCTTATCCAAAATTGATGCAGTCATGAACAACTAATGTTCTTATCACAATAATATATCTTCAGGAGGAGCTTCTTTATTAAATCTTTCGCTGTTGCATTTTCATTTATTTTTGGGCTGCAATTTTCAAATTGCAGACCTATCAATTACCCTGTAACTGTCTGTCCATCCATTATTTGTTAATCTTGAGAATTGAGTTAGATAGATGAAAATCAAGACCAGATATAAAAAACCCAGGGGCCAGATACCCTGGTTATATGAACTTCCGGTCTGGACCAGAAATCTTGTGATTTCAATTCAAAAGTTTTGAATCTATATTCTCAACCTCAAATAGTTCCAAGATCAAACAACATAGCCTGATGATGTCCATTTAAGATGGAAGAAAACGTTTGTTGAATTTGTGTTATTTTTCTGGTTTTTGGTTATTGAGAGTGTAATCTACGTTAATAGCCAGTATTTAGTGGTTGTTGATTGTACTTCTTAAATACATAAGTAAGTAGAATTTGATATGGCTGGAGTAATATAATAATTAAAGTGACCAGACATCCTGGATTAACCAGGACAGTCCTGGTTTTGAACAAAATGTCCTGTTTTCTTATTTATAATGACTGTCCCATTTTTTTATTTATTAAGATTATTCCATTTTTTATTTATAACTAAATAGTTCATATTAAAAAAATTTTTTTTTTAATTTAAAGATTTAATTTTTTTAAATTGCTTCAAAGAATTCTTTAACATCTACTATGTATAGAACATGCCATCCTAATAAATTATCACAATGTTACTTATGTAGAGATGCAGCTAAGCATAGTGCTGTTACCTAACTCCTACACTAAGCACTAACTGTCCTGGTTCCAAACAAATAAGGTTATATAGGTTGGCCTAGAATTAGGACTTATTAGTCCAATAAGTATAAACACTTTTGACATGTTTTCATATACCATTCAATGAAAATTAATATGTATTAATTATAATGATATAAAATTATTTTCATAATATAACNAAAAAAAAAGAAAAACTGAATTAATCTAAAGTTTTGAAAGAGCGCACCAATGGAAACTCAATTACCTTATTTCTAATGAGGAAAGATAGTCGAGGAAAAGATAGCGAATTAATGAATTCTGAGAAACGAACTTAATTAAAATAAAAAAGAAAGCAAAACTGGAAAAATAATGAAGGAAATAAATAAGATGGTGAAGTAGAGAGATAGCAATTGAAAAAAAAAGAGGGGGACTCTTCTTTGCCAGAAAGAATAAAGGCGATATGAAGGAAATCCATCTTTTGAATGCCTTTGCTGGGTGAGGATTATTAACTCGGAAATTTAATGGAAATTTAAATTTTAATTTATTTTTTTTTATATTAAATTTTCATTCAAAAAAAAAAAAACACTATGTGAGGTGGCACTGTCAAAAAAGAATATGTCCCACAATATTAGTGAACAATGGTATAGATCAGGAATCACCAAAATTTTTCATAGCGGTCCAAATAACTGACAGAATGATAAGCAAGGGCTGCATAATCATTTTGTTCAATACAATATACTGAATACACAAAAAATAAAGACAATCAACATAATTATTTATCAGAAAGTTATCAAAAAAAGCAACATCTATATAAATAAAAATGTAAATGTTCATTTGTTCAAAATCTTAAATCTCTGAAAATTCTTCACCAATTGCTTTGAAATTTTGAAACAATGTTGCATTCGAATATGCATGTGTTTTTATATTATATAGATGTCGAAATCCTCCTGCGGGGAGAGGGACAAAATTAAGGCTTACCATGAAGAATTGGGCTTCTATTATACTATTTTAGATGCAGTTTTTTTGCATTTTTGATTGCATTTTAATAGGGTATGTCAAGAGAATATACACTAAGAAGGAATTTTTAGAATTTCCCCCACGCGGAACAGGGAGTGTTATACATTTATAATAGATAGATTTTGAGCCACAGCAACGCATGGCTGGGTACAGCTAGTTAGCAATAAGATAGTTTTAAACATGGCAATACAAGTTAAAACACAATTGCAGCAGCAGACTCATAATCACTTTTCTTAGAAATTTCATTGCAGGTACTTACACAAAAAGTGCTCTGATATCCAAAATTGCTGAATTTTTTATTTCAATGATTTTTCTAAAAATTATGTTACTGTCAGATGCAAAAATCAGATTGGACAAATTTGGGAATTTTTACTTATGCTTATTTTAATTTTTTCTACATAGTAAGTTTATCCACAATCTATGATATTTCCATATAAATAATTATATTTGAGCTCATTTGTGGCACTGTACAGTGATAGGCTGTAGTTTGGTGATCCCTGATATAGACAAAAACATTATTAAGCAATGAAATCATTTAAATAACCTCACACTCTGTATTTTCTATCTTCAATTTTTAGATTGTCCCAAGCTGAAGTTCAGAAAATCTGGTCACTTTAATAATAATAGAAGTTTTGGTCTGTTTATTTGAATCTTATTTGCATTGAATCTGATATTGAAATGGTAAATTTCCACCATTTCAGCATCAGATTCAACTCAAATAGAGCAGTTCTTCTGAAAGGAATTACTATAATTGATTTTTCTGACTATCCTCAAGAAAAAGAAAAATGCAGCCTTCAACATTAATAGTCATGTTTTGAAGTGACTTAATTTGAATTGTGATGTTTTCTGTAATATTATTTTAATTTTTGTCAAATTTATATTATAATTAAAATTTGTGATGTTTTTTATATTTATAAATAAAAAGTTATGAAGTTTTTAAAAACACTTAAATTGCATAAATTGTAATAAATTTATTTTTTACAGTTATTTAATAGGAAAAGCAAACAAAACTTTACCTGTGAAAAATCAAGATAAAGTAATAGCGATGGTATGTTTAATATTTTGATATTGATATAATTTTTTTATTTACATTTAATTTTCTTGCTCATTTTTGTTCAATGTAAATCTGTGCACACTATGGGTACATATATGGTCAAGCCCAGTATTTAGCCACTAAATGGATGAGACCAGCAGCGTGGATGATAAATGGAAAACAATACTCTGATTTAAAATACTCAGGATGAATTATGAGAATCCAAATTCAAATCCAGAATGTTTATAGAGAATATAGAACCTCAGTACTATTAATACAATAATTGATTTTTAATCTGTAAATTATTTGAAACAGAATGCAAAATAAACTTTTATATAAAATACTTAATTTTATAATTTATCATAAACTCACTTAGATGGAACTAATTAAATTAGTTAATCCATACTCAGTATGATAGAAAGAAAAAGATCATCCTAAGTTATCCATGTACTATAAAATTTACAATGCTTAATGAGTAAATAATTTGTAAAGTATAAAATTACAATTTTTTCACATTCTGCAATCTGATTTTGTTAATATTTAGTAGATTATCCTGCAAAAATGCATTATATTTTTATATATGTGTAAATGAAATAATTTTATCCTTGAAATTTCATTAGGTTCTAATTTCAAGTTGAAATTAGAACCTAAGGCCCTTGTTTCTCCTCAATAAGACATAAAAAGCTCCTTTACCACCAGAATTTTAGATTATCTGAAGTATTATATGAATATTATGTACAGTCATTGACAAAAGTAAATTGCCACTTCATGTCAATCAGCAGGCGATGATTTCATGGAGTCAAATTTGACATAATGCATAACTCAGACTAGATTAATTGAATATTAATGTTAACTTAGAAATATGCTTTAAGAAAATTTTATTTTTATTCATTCCAAATTTTAATCAATTTCTTGAACTAATTTATCTTAAATAAATAAAAATATTACAATAAAGTTAATAATACTTACAGTTTTGGATATTTTTTGTTTACATAATAATAATATATTCTTATTATTATTATTTGTCATGACAAACAATCTGACAATCTTAATTTGCATATGAAATCTCAGAGAATAAGACATATTGGAAAAGAAGAAATATTGTCTGCTAGAAAGAAATAATAGGATTCAAATTTCAATGATTTTTTTAATGGCTTTTCTTCTGTATGATGAAAATATTAAAATTGAATGTGAAAAAAACCAATTTTATCTTGAACTGTAATAGTAGTAGTTGTATGCTAAATAGATTTTTTATATTAAAATTAATATAATTTTTGGTTTAAATGCATTATTTCCCTTCATTGCCAAGAAATTTGAATGATAAGGAATGAACAAATGATTTCAAAGAAAAAAATTACTGGATTATGGGAATATAATAAATTTTCAGTGAGAACAAAAGCTCATAATTTTTGTATTCATCATAAAACTGTTTCAATTTGGTGACAAGAAGAACACAATTTACAATGCATAAAAAGATCTTGCAAACCATAATAACATCTTTCACACAAGAACAAGAAATTATAAATGCTGTCATTGAACAACCTTTAACTAATGTGGCATTGCTGAGACAAAAATTGCAATTACAATACTCTTTGAATACCATATGAAGATGATTAAAAGAATTTGGATATACTCACCATTGTCCTATATAAAAAAATTATTTAGTAAGTGGGCAGAAAGAGATAGGACTTGGTTTTGTATTAAAATATTTATCATTGTCATGACTTTTGGAATAGCCATATTTTCAGATGCAAAAGCATTTTTGTCACATTCTCACAGAGAACTTCATTGCTACAGACCAATTGAAATTTCTTATTATGTGAAAATATGGCCTACATATCTCATTTGGGTTATAAAAGACTGTCACTGTGTTTTGTTTTTATAGATTAATCTTCATATTTAGTAAAGTTTATTTAAACACTTTCAGGTAAGTGTTATTAAACTGTTTTTAACTGCAGATAAGTAATTATTNAAATTTGTTCGTTTGACTAAACGTAAAAATTCTCTAATTAGTCTGGAAACAGGGGACCTAATTCTTGCATTTTGTGAAAACGGGTAAGATTAGCTATAATGTAATTATCTTAATCTTCACTATCGTTACTTTTTGCCCACAAATAAAAACCCAGCGAAGCAGGTTTTTGCAGCTAGATTCTAGATTACTTAGAAAAACAGTCTTTTATATATAAAGAAAAACTATTACATACAAATAATAACCCAGTGAAGCGGGTCCTTGCAGCTAGTTATTCATAAAAATGACAAACAAAATACAGTGGCATCTTGGTACTCAAATTATTCCCAACTCGAACAATTCGGTATTCAAACACAAATTCTGGAAAAACACTTGATACTCAAATGAACAAATGAAGCCACTAGAACAAATTTTCAATTAATAATATCTTTTTGTGATAAAAATAAAAAATGAAGACATTACTGATATTTCTGATCAAGATCAACAAAATAGCTCATAAGATGACAACACTTTGTAAAAAAGAAAATTGCCCTCTAATTAAAATTAATATTAATGCATAATACAGTACTTTTAATTGTGATTGTTAGTTAATTATTGATTGTTCTAATAAACATATTTCTCTCAATGTTGGAAAAGAATAGTACACTTTTTGCTAACTTTTGGAACCTAGCCCTTTGTTTTGTATAGCACAGATTTGCATAACATGGCATTTTTTCAGAACATAACTATCATGTTATACATGTTATATCATGTATTTGTTAATCTAATGCAGTTGTGTATTTAAAGAAAGCTACTTTAAATACTCAAAGTTAAAATTAAAAGTTTAAAATTTTATTTCTTAAAATTTAGTAAATTGTTTTTCTTTTTTACTTTTTGTTTTACTTTATTAAATTATTAACTAAATAAATTATATAAGGTAATAAGTTTACTAAATATTCAGGGTATTCAAGTATTTGAGATCTGGTTAATATTCATATTTGAGAAAAATAATATTTTCCCTTCTCTAATTATTATTAATTTAAAAATTTCTGTATATTTTGAAAAAAATTATTTAAATATTTGTTAAAATATATATAAATTTTGAAACATTTTCATTATTTCAGAGCCGACTGTTTCTGTTTCATACAAGTAGAATTGTTTTAGGAACAGGAATGAAGCTTTTAGGTTTACAACCATTAGACATGATGTAATTTTTATAATTTGTAAACAACACTTACAATATTGTAATATTAAGCAAAATTATTGTTTTTATTTTAATAAATTGTATAGCTCTTTATTTGACTGTTCTTTTTCTCCATTAGATAACAAAAGAATTGAAAATTAACATTTGCAAATAATTTTTAATAACTGTTTAATAATATAGTTCATTTGTAGAAAAGGGCTGGCAGAATTACAATTTAATAAAAAGTAAAATACATCTGGATACGAGTCCAATTTTGCTTGCCATGTCCAATCACCAGGAACAACTATTTCCATTGCAGAGACAGCCTTTCTTTAGAGGCTCTGCCTCTAAAGAAAGCAAAATTGGACTCGTATCCAGATGTATTTTACTTTTTATTAAATTGTAATTCTGCCAGCCCTTTTCTACAAAGAAATATTATATTTTTAATTGTGTTGGGATTGTTACCTGTGAACATTTTAAACTGTTTTACATATTTGTGCAGAGGCATAGCCTCTAAAGAAAGGTTGTCTCTGCAATGGAAATAGTTGTTCCTGGTGATTGGACATGGCAAGCAAAATTGGACTCGTATCCAGATGTATTTTACTCTTTATTAAATAGTAATTCTGCCAGCCCTTTTCTACAAAGAAATATTATATTTTTAATTGTGTTGGGATTGTCACCTGTGGACATTTTAAACTGTTTTACATATTTGTGCAGAGGCATAGCCTCTAAAGAAAGGTTGTCTCTGCAATGGAAATAGTTGTTCCTGGTGATTGGACATGGCAAG